GCAAATAATTTGCATTAATCGGAAAACGAGTTACCTGAATTTTGATGTTTGTTGACTGCATCACACACAGAATGAAGTGGAACATCATCATCAGTCGTCAGTTTCAGACGGTCGAACTAACCGAGTTCTGAAAGATTTAAATCATTCTGGGTGACGCAACAAATCCCGGTGAATTTGATATTATGGAAAGAAACACTGCATTCAAGTTCACCAGTCAGTTTAAGGCGCCCGCCACATGCGCTGACAGCAGTTTGAGAAGTGTTTGTAGTAGGCGGTGGTCTGGTGATATCATCATCCCAAAGTTTCTCTGATATGACAGTAATGTCAGAGGCGGTATCTAACTGCAGTCGTGTATCTGGAGATCAATATACTTCCGTATACCTGGTGTTGTAACTTGAACATGTTACCCGGAGACACATTGACCTTCTAGGAGATTTAGGACTCACTGTGGATTGAGATTTCGTTGGATTTCGGTATCTGCGTTTGTGTGGTTGACGAAATCCGTCTGTCCCCATGACCGATTATATTACACTTGCGTCAACGACGATGTTTGTACGAAGAGAATCTTATAAAATACCACTCTCCACAGTGACAGCATGATAGTGGTGGGGTGTTCCTTGAAATATTTGCTGAGGTTGAACCAGTCAGTACATGTAGATTCACGCGAAACATTAGGAACAGATGGGTGGGGACTGAATCGTGACGAGCGAGTTATTCTCTGTGTCATAATGCACGGATGTCCAGAGCTTCTCGAAGTTACCGATTCGACCAGGTGTGTATCCTTCTGCAAAGATTGATCAATCAGCCGTTGGTATTCCTCAGCTATACCATGTTAAGTTAACTTGGAATTTTCTTCTAGCTGATTGAGCAGTCGTGTTCGAATATATCTGTGAAACAAGGGGACTGAATACTGCATATGAGAATCATGGCTTGGAATAGATAGATCATCTGTTAAGGACCTGAGTCGAAATCTCTCGCATTCTCCGTTGACTGTAGCAAGATGAGTGAAGAAATCATCAATGTCGTTCGTCGTCATTGTAGGGCAACAATATCGGTCGTATTCTGACTAGTGAGGAGTGGTTTCCAAGATGCTCACTCAGCAGTAGCTTTATTGTATCATCGAAACACTTGTCGCGCGTGGTTGGTTGGTTTTGCAGGTAGAGTCAGATTGCAATATCTTTCATATTCAGCTGGACCCAATTTACTCAGTAACAATCGTACCTTCCAAGCATCGTCTTGTGAGGCGAGGTCAGCTCTAATCTAGTCTTCATAGCGCGTATACCATGTGTGGAAAGTGACATTTGCGTCTGGCTCATACTCGGACTGAATGATAGTACTCGCGATTCCGTCGTCAACTGATGGTGCCCGGTGATGTGACTCGGAGTCCTTGGCGGTGATGCGGTGAACCAGTCAATTTGGTTGGTGATAGGCGTTTCCATCGATCTGATGTGTTGGTCGAATGATAATTCCGATGTTTGTAGGAAAGATAGTTCTCCCATCGCCAATATGTATGTTTGTTGCGGAGTGACGGAGTATAACAAGTACGTGACTAGCGAGATGCAGCGGATGATGGCGGGACGACTGGTATTGCTCTTGGTAGTTGTTAAATTTCCCTGACTCGAAGAGTGAATTCAGGAGATCCACACACGTCGTTGATGAAGGATAGATGTATTATTATTATTATTGGGAAAGTTAACTGTCACACAAGAGTGTGTGTGAATGAAGAGGAGTGTCAATCAATTGTACAGTACAGTAGAGTACCGTGCAATAGTAAACAGTATAAGCAAATACCTGAAAACATATATGAAGCAATAAGATAAATAAAGTGATATTTTTTACCCACCCTACCTCCAATCCAACTGGATTGTGATTGGCTGCACTGTCATGTGACAAAGGTCATCCATTGTTATTTAGTTGGTAGACGGACAATATAGATTGTCAGTCATCACTGACTAACGATCAATAGAGACGGATAGCAATCCATATCAGATCGGCCAACAAAGCTGATATTGTGGTGAGAGCTGTCTGCTAGCCAAAATTGTAGACAACAATTGACATCAATGTTTACGTCCCTAATCGGGGTCATGATAAAAAGCAGTAACGAAGCCAAACCTTGAGGAACTCCCATTGTGGTGAGAGCAGGCTGCTAGCCAATTGGTAGACATTAATCTACGTCAATGTCTAGGTCACTAATATTGGCCGTGAGAAAATATGAACAAGGCTGATTCAACAACTAATCACAGCAAACTTAACATGGGCAAATATGATTCGCAGATAGATGGCTCCACTTTTCGATGTTACCCGAAACAACCAATCAGAAGCCTGCGTTTGTCTGCTTAACCTCCGAGAAACAACCAATCAGAGGACCGCGTCTGTCTACTTGTATAAGCTATAATAATGTACAGGAAATATAAATAAATACGTGTTCATTTCCGTAATAAAACGATCTGTTGCCGGCCCTTGTCTTCTGTTGTTACATCATAACTGATCACAGTGGACTTAACGTGTGCACGGTCGATTCGCAGATATACAGTTTGAGTTTCTAAGAAACGGCCACAAAGAGACGACAGAATAACCTTCAGCAAGAAAACAACAACCAATCAGAAGGCGTTGCTTCTCTAGTGACAATAATGGAATAATAATTTACATAAAAATCTATAAATATCTCTTGATTTTCACAATAAACGCTGTGTTCCCGGGCCCTTATATCTTCTGTCGCTACAACGTCACGTGACTACATATCAGAAAGTTGAGCGCTTAAACCAATCATCAACCACCCTTCCTTGTCTATACATTTTAGAAAATTGTAATAGGATTATGAATGGTTATTTCTGATCTTTAATCAATGCAACATCTAGGAAATATATATCAAAGAAGATTCGGATTGTTAGCACAAATGTCAAATCGGTCAGTCAGTTCTTCTATATGAGTCAGAAACTTCGGGTGGTGTGTCACGCAAGGCATTCCCATCAGCCGCCTATTGTAGACATTTGTCAACACAACTGCCTCCACTGACTCTATACTGAATAACAAATTACCGGCAACAAACCAACCAAGAGGAGACGGCATAACAAATATGCATAAAAGGATGGAGATGGATGGGGAATACGTTGAGAACGCCGTCGAATGACATCATGCACAATGCATGCCATCAGTAGAGTGGAACCCTATTGGGAAGCGACGAGTTGGACGTCAGAGTGACACGAGGAGATCATGTGAGTTGAATGGGGCGATGAGAGATTATGGGTCAGATTATGCGGTCAACCAGCTGAGCAGGGCGGCAGAGAATAAACCAAGGTAGAGATCAGTTGTTTCCCTCAGAACCCAAAGGAGTAATAATATTAATAATAGTTTGAAAATGTACTGTACTTCATCATAAACTGTTATTTCAGTATGAATCACAACAAAATTTCTATCAACGACAATCAATAAATAGATGCAAAGAAGCTACCGTTACTCTAAGTGTACACAGCACACTGATATCTTTTGGTGTTTCAGCAGTGTGTTGCACAGTTTCATGATCTGTCTGTTTTCGACATAAAACAACTTTGCACCGATGTGCACCAGTTCAAGTCGCCACACTTTCTCCCTCCTTGCAGCACACAAAGCAAGAGAAGAAAGTAGAAGAAACGCATAATAGAGACAGTAAACAAAGGTGTGAGACAAAGGAAGAGTAATAACGAAGAACAATACAGTTTCATTGGAAATCATAAGTCACAAGGAGTGGATGTATCTGCACCAGCCATTGAGAATGATTTTGAGCCATATCACCAATTGTTTCCAACCATTGGTTTTTACCGTCCGAGGACCCCAACCAGGAAATCTACACCTTCTTCCGTGGCTTAAACTAACTGTTGTGGATTTCATTGACTCGTCACATGTTTTGGTTTGACCACCGCTAGCCAACTCTTTTCCAGCCTGACCCTATATATTAGCTAACATTGCCCGTCAGTCAAGGAAGGCGATGACTAGGCATACGTAACAAATGTCCTAACCATCTTAATCCATGCAACTTCACAACCTCGTCTATTGATTTCCCCTCCTTACCTAGAACTCGACTCACGCCTAACCTCAATATTGCTCACCTTATTATGCCACTTCACACGGGAGATAGAACGCAGGCACCTATGATCAAAGACAGCTAATCTTTTCATGTCCTCCACTCTCAATGGCTACGTGTCGCTCACAGCCATAAAGGAGGACGGAGTGGACTCCTGAGCAGTGCACACACCTTTTGGTCGATAGCCGGATATCACGTCTACGCCAGAGACGGCGTAAACTGGCATATGCGAAACTATCCCTCTGTATCCGTACTGAGATTTCATCAGAGATCAACCTGTTGGCGTTGGCTGATGGTACTTCCCAAATAAGTGAAGCGCTCCACGCGCTCTACCACTTCATTCCCTATTTCTAAACTAGGAGTCAGTGTAGTCTAGTCCTGTAACATCATCATTTGGCGGGAGCGAATCGCATGCCAAACATTCGTAGATCACTCACTGCTCAAGGTGTTTAGAAGACTCTGCTTCATTTTGTCACAGCGTTCTCGCCTAGAAGGACTATATCGTCTGCATATTCCAAGTCAACGAGATTATTACCCCCCTGGTAACAAGTCAATCCCTGAGTCTCTAAAGTACATCTATGATGAAATTGAATAGAAATGGGGATAATGGGCATCCCTGACGGATACCACTAGTAGTCACCACTTCAGATGACAACTCGTCGTAAGCCTTCATCTGGCTGGCTGTATGAGTTCAAGTAGAGTGAGTGCTTTAATCAGTGCGAAAAAGATGGGAAAAGAACAAACAGACGCAGAACGCACACATGCACAGACACACAATAAAGGAAAACATGAGAAACTGCTTCGTTAAATGCTTTATTTAACTTGAAGTACAAAATTGATTTATTCTTTTAGTCTTTCTTCTCCATCATCACCACCATCATCATCATCATCATGGATAACAAAACTAATTAATATCTATACACAACACATCCTGGGAATTTTAAGATTCCTGACATATCTCTTCTTCGACAGCAGCACAACTTTCGCGAACTTGACGGAGGCAGTCATACAGTATTGATTTTTTATTCTCACCTAATGGTTCTACTTTGATGAAAAGCTAAATTAAAAAGGGGAAAAAAATGACGAAAATACCAAGGAGATAAAATCATCATAACGAAATACACACCTAACTACCTGCCTACCTACCTACCTCAGAATCAATGAATTGGCAACAAAATCAAACCTAATCTCTATATAGCCAACACAACACCAACATTTCTGTCATGCATTAATTGAGAAGAAAATAACTCACCTTTAATCATTTCATTTGAAAAAATAAGTGACAAATGATAGGATTCTTTTCATACAAAACAAAAGGAGAGGTCATATACTGGGAAAATTTTGCATCCTTCATAGAAATACAGTAATGCGAGGTCTATACTTACTTACTTTACTTCGGCTATCTCCTACGGGAGGATGAGCCGGCTTCATGAACGTCTCGAATCATCGCTGCCCAGGCGCGGCAATTTGTAAGAGAGTTCATGAAGTCTCATGGGAATTTGGTACGAGTGATGTCCCCAGAATCGCTCGGCCTTTTGTTTCAGAGTGCAGCTCTGGCCTTTACACAGCCAAGTGTGACCTACAAGGCAGTAGGAGTGGAGTAAAGAGTCCACTATCCATTGGCAGCCGGTGACAGGAGTTCGGTTCATACGCCTTTTTGAATGGGGCCAGACATCCAGGACATTCAATAAGCCCTTTGTCCATACGTCTGCCGTTGAGCTCCAGTGAGCTTCATACGCCAGTCGTTGGAGGTTTGGAATCAGGGTTTAGCCATCTCCCCTAGACTGTCATCCAATGGACAGTCAACCCGGTGGAGAGCGCCGGGCATCCGCTTTCGCCCTCTCACTTTGGTGAGAAACACCTCCGCCACGTGAAGGCATTCAGTAGGACTTCCTCATGAGAGGCTATGTAAGACGCCCGGTCATATGGGAGCATTTCAAGAGGTGTACGGAGGGGTGGCCAACCCGCAGCGCAAGACACTCACCCCCGACCATCCTGAGGCCTTGGAGGCTGTTATTTGAATGTCAGTCTTTGTAGAGTAAGTCGAAAGCTTGAGGAGGAATAACCCCACAGGACACTAGCCTGTTTCCCTCTAGTAACATTTCGGTACACAACAGGGCGCCCACTTGGTGAAGTTCAACAATAGCTGCCCAGTAGTGTGAATGCTCCAATAACCTTGAACGCATGCTAGCCGTTGGCTAACGGCACCTGTTATTATCATAGCTGAAATATCAACACTATTCACCCAGATCACGTTTTTAAGTACTGTTTAGACAATGTGTTAATAGCTCGTTAGGGTTAGGATTAGGGTTAAGGTAAGTATTGGGGTTAGGGTTAGGATCAGGGTTAGAATTACGGTTTGAATAAGGTTTATGATTAGGGTTAGGATGAAGGTTAGGGTTGGTGTTAGGGTCAGTGTTATGTTCTAGTTTTCCCCGTCGCCAAATTGTTATGTACTCGTCGCTAAATTATTGTTATGGGCTGGTCGAGAAACTAATAGTCCTGACGCGAGAAGGCGGAAATCAGAAGACCACTAGGTTTGCGATGATACTTCTATTGTCCAAACACAAGGAGACGAAAATAAAATGGTCTCACACCAAAGTGGTAAGTAAGTAAAGTAGTTGTAAAGTAGTTCACACAAATTGTGAATGCGAATATATATAAATAATTCAGACAAAGCGTGGGAAAAATCATTAGACAGTCTTAACATGAATGGCTAATTATAATGGAGTGTCGATCCAATTATACATAGCGAATATAGCAGACATGTCAACAAACATATATGGATATATGTCACCAAGCAACGGACTGTCAACAAACACTCATATTATATATAATATAAATGGAATATACATTGTTAAAGGAGACAAGTTCATACAAGTGAAGTGGTCACAGACTAACCGAGCAAACAGAAAGAGAGACCAACATGCACACACACACATAAATATATATATGTGGATACATATCAGTCAGCATCAAGGCTAGGGTTATAATTAGGGACAGATTTATTGTGGATGTCATTTATTTTAGTTTGTTTTATTGTCCACATCTTCATGATACGTAGTCATCGATCCTCTTACTGGAAACCACAGTGTAATTCAACCGAGGGCTTTTGGGGCAAACTGCACAGCAGGATAGGCGAGATGAACGATTCACAAAAACAGCTTATCTTTAGTCACCTCGGTCAATACATGTACAGAAACTAGTCGAACTTAGCAACTGATACTCCTCATTATAACTGGGAGGTATTTTTTAAATCATGTCAGAGAAAGATAACCTTTTAAATGTGTTTTCATGAATTTTCTTGTAAATATATACGTCATTTTTCATGCAAAAAACTCCTTATTTTTATGATTGGTCGGCTGAAAGTCACCCGTGCATTCGCATCTTGGCGTCATTCTATCTGCTGATCTTTCCTGGTCGTCTCATATCTTGATGATTTCTAAGAAAATATTCCGTCTTACCTTCTACATCAAGAAGTTATGACATTCTGGAATAACCCAACCCAACCCTTACTCTTACGATTCGTTAACTCTTCCATCCTGCCTATTATTCTCTATTGTTCCCCCTTAATTTTTCCAGGACTATACCTTATTACGCAGGATGTTAACGGTTGTCAGCAGGGTAAGCCACAGGGTTCCACTTAACCAGCTTGTTAATATTCTGGTCGACAGGCACATGGACTCACGTGAAAAATGGGCTAAATCCATTCTATCTATCTAACTCTCACCACTATCTTCATTCACAACTCTCCCCTTGTATCTCATCAGGCAGAACCAGGAGCCTATATAGAAAACTATATGCTCGTACGAGCAAATAGAAAAACTCAACCACACCGTCCCTACTTAGCTCGTGTTCTGTCCGATAAAGAAAGCATTAGGCATGATACCTACAACTTATTCAATAGTCAGTAGAACAACTGGATCTAGTCTTTTCAACTCATATCATTTATAGGTACAACGTTTTTCTTTCTTTCTTTTCCTTTTCTCTCTTTTTTGTGTGTTGTTATGTGCTGCTTTGTTTCTTTCCTCTGCTTACGCCAGTAAATATGCTAGTTAGCATCTACTTTTCTAACACCTTCAAACATTCTGTTCACTTTTGGCTTTGCTACCTATGTGCTAATATGTTGTCGTCAAAACTAACCGAGATTACCCTTAATCTATGTAGAATTTTATTTATTGTTAATGTACAAACTGGATACAATACTGTAGTGGAATGCTGAGAATTCCATTCTGTATCACAAGTACTGTTTTGGAATAAGGCAAATTATTATTATTATTACCCCTTAAGACGCTATTGTTGAACTGTGCCAGGCACTTTTTACTGTTCATGTACCAAGTTAGTTAATTTTAAAACACATTAGAAATTTTTAGAAAACACCAACCCTAATTTTTTTTCAGAAAATAACTGCGCATGTAATTTTGTTAGATGCACGCACACACACACACGTACACACACACAGCGTAAATATCAAAGAAGACAGATAAAATAAAGAAACAACCCACAAACTCACCTCGACATATTCAAGTAGGTCGTTAATTTCAGATGGAGTCATGCTGAATTTATACGAACCTGAACAATAATCCAAAGCACTCACTATTTCTGGAGGGATTAAATCCACTCTTGATTTCATTTGAACAGCAAAAGGACTAGAAGGTCGAATAAGACAAATTAAACGCAGTAACCAGCCTAAACGATCGTAATGTCGATGAGCAAGTGCTTCATAGATAAGAGGTCCAGATGATCCCAATGAAGCAATCATATTGATAGGATCCCACATATTTTGGTATTGACTGTTAGTCTTGCATATATGGTATATTATCATTCCCACACATTTTGTTATTGACTGTCAATCTCGCACATATGGTCTATTATCATCTCTCACGCACTTTGTTATTGGCTATTAAGATCAATTATTTCAAATGCTGTTAGCTGTCCATATTGTTGTAAAATGTATAAATACCATGGCTTTCTTTGTCGTTGTTGCACTTCAATACACAGTCACAGTCCAGCCTTTGTCTTTTGATATTTGCGTGCTTTACTAAATCGGAAGGTACGACAAGCAGATAGGCAGATTAGTTCAGGCGCAGACAGAGCAAGGTGAAAACGTCTTCATTCAATTCCCTACAGTTATAACAAATTGGCGACGGGGTTTACCTTAATTCATTGTAGTTATAGCAAGCAAACGACGACAGTTTTTATCCTGTTCAGCGCAGCTATAGAACATTTTTGACTGTGTTAATTACAACCCAATTACAATGTCTATCTCTCTGGACGATCTCAAATCTATCTTGCAGCAGCAGCAAGTTCAGAATGAAGCAGCTCAACTAAAATTAATCGAAGCTCTCACTCAGAAGCCACACCGTCAATTTGTCTATATAGTTCCTGATTAAATAAGAATATACAATAAGTCATGAATAAGAGGCTTAGTTGCCTCTGCAACCCCGAGGATGAGAACGCTTCAAATCCAGTCGTCTAGTGGATTGTTGTCATCAGCACAAATACGACAATAAACGTTTCTTGACAAAACAGCAGAGAGAGAAGAACTAAAGAAACTCATATATGATGAAAGACTGATAAAGGATCAGGGGTAGCCCAATTCGATAGACGTAACTATATTAACTGACTGGCTTCAACATAGAACTTTGCAAAGATGTGCAACAGTTCTAGTAGCCACACTTCATTTAGCACACAAAGCAAAATGGAATGCGAAATAAAGACAGTAAAAAACAGAGATATCAGACAAAAAGAATAGTAATATCCACGAACAATATGGTTTCATTGGCTATCATATTTCACAAGGTGTGGATGCATCTGCGCCAATGACAACGATTTTGAGCCATATCACCAATTTTCTCCAGCTGCTACAATGGCTCTAACCGTTTCCAGGACCCCAAACAGTCAGGAAATTTACACCTTCCCACCTGACTGACCTATAAACTAACTGTTACGGATATAAGTGATTGATGAAGCCATGTTTTCGTTTGACCACAATGTGCTAGCTCTTTTCCAACCTTATCCCCATCCATACTATGTCAGTCAGTTAACATTGTCTGTCATCGAGGAAGGCGATGGATAGGAATATGTAACACATATCCTCATCACCTCTCACAATCCATGTAACTTCACAACCACCTCGTCGATTGATTTCCCCTCCAACTCACCTACCACTCAACCCATGCCTAACCTCAATATTATTCAGCCTACTATAGCACCTAACACACACGTGGGAGATAGAATGCAGTCTCCTATAATCAAAGACAGCCAGCAACCCAGCCAGGCTGTTCATGTCTACCATTTTCAATGACAATGTCTCACTAGCAGGCATAAAGGAGGACGGAGTGAACTGCTGCTGGGCAGCACACACGTCCTTTGGTCAATAACCGGTCGGATACCACATCTACGCCAGAGACCGTGTACACTGGCATATGCGAAACGACCCTCTTGTATCCGTGTTGTGATTTCGTCAGTGGTCAACCCGCTGGCGTTGGTAGATTTTTATTATATTATTTTTTTTTTTTTTATTTTTCCTTCACGTTCCCCAGTGGAACATAGGGCTTCAAGCTAGTGGCTTGAAGTTTCTGTAGCAATGTTTATTTTACAGGATGAGGTCGCTAGCCTCATGCCCAACCTTTCCTCTTTACCAGCATTATTTCTAGCTCAGCGAAGTAAAGGAGTGCGTCGGCCGGGGATCGAACCTCGGACCATGTGCATGGTAGGCGAGCATCCTAACCGCTATACCACCGACGGCGTTGGTAGATGCAACTTTCCAAATAAGTGAAATGGTCAACACACTCCACCACCTGTCCCCATCTTTGAGTTTGAAGTCAGTCGTTGTAGTCCAGTCCAATCTACTCCTCTAGCACCAACTTACATTTGACAGCAGAGCTATTCGCTAGTATGCCAAACATTTGAAGATTGCTCACTGCTCAAGGTGTTCAGAAGACTCTGCTTCATTTTGTCAGCGTCATTACCCAGAAAGGAGGACTATATCATCTGCATAATGCAAGTCAACGAGATTATTGCCTCCCTGGTAACAAGTCAATCCATGAGTCGCTGAGGTGAGTTAGGGTTAATGCCATTAGTACATACATCTATGATGAAATTGAATAAAAATGGGGATAGTGCATATCCCTGATAAACACCACTGGTTGTCACCACTTAAGATGACAACTCGCCGTAAAATCTCACCAGGCTCATTGGCTGCACGAGTTCGAGTAGAGTGAGTGCCTTGATCAGTGTAATGTTTTTTCTCGGCTTTCCCTTTACGGTCAAGCATCAACATCAAACTCATTAAAAATGAGAAAACAACATTCATAATACTTGAAAATTTTCTAAAATGTATAGACAAGGAAGGGTGGTTGATGATTGCTTTAAGCGCTCAACTTTCTGATATGTAGTCACGTAATATTGTAGCGACAGAAGATATAAGGGCCCGGGAACACAGCGTTTATTGTGAAAATCAAGAGATATTTATAGATTTTTATGTAAATTATTATTCCATTATTGTCACTAGAGAAGCAACGCCTTCTGATTGGTTGTTGTTTTCTTGCTGAAGGTTATTCTGTCGTCTCTTTGTGGCCGTTTCTTAGAAACTCAAACTGTATATCTGCGAATCGACCGTGCACACGTTAAGTCCACTGTGATCAGTTATGATGTAACAACAGAAGACAGGGGCCGGCAACAGATCGTTTTATTACGGAAATGAACACGTATTTATTTATATTTCCTGTACATTATTATAGCTTATACAAGTAGACAGACGCGGTCCTCTGATTAGTTGTTTCGGGTAACATCGAAAAGTGGAGCCATCTATCTGCGAATCATATTTGCCCATGTTAAGTTTGCTGTGATTAGTTGTTGAATCAGCCTTGTTCATATTTTCTCACGGCCAATATTAGTGACCTAGACATTGACGTAGATTAATGTCTACCAATTGGCTAGCAGCCTGCTCTCACCACAATGGGAGTTCCTCAAGGTTTGGCTTCGTTACTGCTTTCTATCATGACCTCGATTAGGGACGTAAACATTGATGTCAATTGTTGTCTACAATTTTGGCTAGCAGACAGCTCTCACCACAATATCAGCTTTGTTGGCCGATCTGATATGGATTGCTATACGTCTCTATTGATCGTTAGTCAGTGATGACTGACAATCTATATTGTCCGTCTACCAACTAAATAACAATGGATGACCTTTGTCACATGACAGTGCAGCCAATCACAATCCAGTTGGATTGGAGGTAGGGTGGGTAAAAAATATCACTTTATTTATCTTATTGCTTCATATATGTTTTCAGGTATTTGCTTATACTGTTTACTATTGCACGGTACTCTACTGTACTGTACAATTGATTGACACTCCTCTTCATTCACACACACTCTTGTGTGACAGTTAACTTTCCCAATAATAATAATAATACATCTATCCTTCATCAACGACGTGTGTGGATCTCCTGAATTCACTCTTCGAGTCAGGGAAATTTAACAACTACCAAGAGCAATACCAGTCGTCCCGCCATCATCCGCTGCATCTCGCTAGTCACGTACTTGTTATACTCCGTCACTCCGCAACAAACATACATATTGGCGATGGGAGAACTATCTTTCCTACAAACATCGGAATTATCATTCGACCAACACATCAGATCGATGGAAACGCCTATCACCAACCAAATTGACTGGTTCACCGCATCACCGCCAAGGAATCCGAGTCACATCACCGGGCACCATCAGTTGACGACGGAATCGCGAGTACTATCATTCAGTCCGAGTATGAGCCAGACGCAAATGTCACTTTCCACACATGGTATACGCGCTATGAAGACTAGATTAGAGCTGACCTCGCCTCACAAGACGATGCTTGGAAGGTACGATTGTTACTGAGTAAATTGGGTCCAGCTGAATATGAAAGATATTGCAATCTGACTCTACCTGCAAAACCAACCAACCACGCGCGACAAGTGTTTCGATGATACAATAAAGCTACTGCTGAGTGAGCATCTTGGAAACCACTCCTCACTAGTCAGAATACGACCGATATTGTTGCCCTACAATGACGACGAACGACATTGATGATTTCTTCACTCATCTTGCTACAGTCAACGGAGAATGCGAGAGATTTCGACTCAGGTCCTTAACAGATGATCTATCTATTCCAAGCCATGATTCTCATATGCAGTATTCAGTCCCCTTGTTTCACAGATATATTCGAACACGACTGCTCAATCAGCTAGAAGAAAATTCCAAGTTAACTTAACATGGTATAGCTGAGGAATACCAACGGCTGATTGATCAATCTTTGCAGAAGGATACACACCTGGTCGAATCGGTAACTTCGAGAAGCTCTGGACATCCGTGCATTATGACACAGAGAATAACTCGCTCGTCACGATTCAGTCCCCACCCATCTGTTCCTAATGTTTCGCGTGAATCTACATGTACTGACTGGTTCAACCTCAGCAAATATTTCAAGGAACACCCCACCACTATCATGCTGTCACTGTGGAGAGTGGTATTTTATAAGATTCTCTTCGTACAAACATCGTCGTTGACGCAAGTGTAATATAATCGGTCATGGGGACAGACGGATTTCGTCAACCACACAAACGCAGATACCGAAATCCAACGAAATCTCAATCCACAGTGAGTCCTAAATCTCCTAGAAGGTCAATGTGTCTCCGGGTAACATGTTCAAGTTACAACACCAGGTATACGGAAGTATATTGATCTCCAGATACACGACTGCAGTTAGATACCGCCTCTGACATTACTGTCATATCAGAGAAACTTTGGGATGATGATATCACCAGACCACCGCCTACTACAAACACTTCTCAAACTGCTGTCAGCGCATGTGGCGGGCGCCTTAAACTGACTGGTGAACTTGAATGCAGTGTTTCTTTCCATAATATCAAATTCACCGGGATTTGTTGCGTCACCCAGAATGATTTAAATCTTTCAGAACTCGGTTAGTTCGACCGTCTGAAACTGACGACTGATGATGATGTTCCACTTCATTCTGTGTGTGATGCAGTCAACAAACATCA